CAGAGAGCAGAAAGAAGGGTGACAAAAGTGTGTCTGAAGTGACGGGGAGTCTGATGACATGCAATTTGTGAAAACCTGACAGGTAAAGGTCAAACGTTACCTGTACGATGTTATGAATAGAATAACCAAGTTATTCACCTGTAATCCGAAACTTCTGGGGAGGATTTAATACACCTCCTCATCCAAACAAGTTCTACTTCATCCATAGTGTAATCTTTGGTAGAAAATGTGTAATGACACGGCTGGGGATTAGGCTCTGCGGCATAAGCTCCTGTCGGGCAGGTGCAAGGTCTTGAGTTTTTTCCCCAGTACAAAAAAATGCATGATTGAAAATTGGGACGTAGGATATCAAAGTACAGCATTTATTTATAGTTCTCAGCTTCCTTTCACTGTAAGAAATACATTAACCTCAGAAAACAATTTGATCATCGCGATCAAAACACAAGTGTTAGGAGGGACTAGAAAATGGACAGTTTTATAAGCATTTCACTGTACCAGAGATTTCTTTCCCGGGTTAGAGGACTTGATGGTACTGAAGGTCTCCACAAGCTGGTGGAGTGTCAGCATTACTATGACCTCGCCAAGCAAAGCAAACTGAAGACACAAACTATCTGCTTATCTCCCAGATACCTGCCTGCCTCGTCTCTGCTGGGGAACAGACCTCTGCTTTTCACAGCGGTCTATACTGCTGTCCATCCAAAGGGGATAGGTCCCACTGCAGCCCTCTAGCTGCTTAGGCCTACGCTTCACCAGGTAAGTAAGAATCTTTGGGGAAAATGTGTAATTGCCATAAAGGCTGAAGTACAATATTCAAGGCAACAATACTTGAGGACGGAAGTGATCTGGCAGCTTCCAGAACACGTCCTGAGGGACAGAGATCATGACCTCCAAGAAAGAAAGAAGGAGAAAACAGAGAAAACCAGACACTGGGCATTGGAGCCTCCAACCTGGTCCACGACAGGCACAACCAGGAAAGAGGTGGCTGGCTGTGGGCTGCCATACTGTCCCTTGGAGCCAGAATGTTCATGACAGAAGATTCAAATTCTGTCTAATTTTAGCTATTTTTAGTTTAGGTTTGTCTGTAAGAGTCAAACCAACATACTAATGAATTCAACATGGCTCATTTTTATTCAGTATATAAGGGTTTAGTGCTATCATAGCTAAAGCACATTGAGTTATTCCAATAAAAATAATTCTTGGTGAAGCATAAAATTAATCATCTTATAATTCTTTATGAGCTTTCAGAATTTTTCAATGAACCGCTCTAAATCCAGAATATTATACCATTGCTGTGATTCATCTCCTAGTTCAACTCAGGCTGAGATTCAGCATGAGAATTTATTGATCTTGTTGTGTTTCAAAAGGCTTCTGAAGAAGCAGAGCGATGCTTCACTCAGTAATTCCTCAGAATATTTTTTTTTTCTCTTGACAAATTACATTCTTGCTTTACTTAAGCAGTGGTAGACACATCGTCAGTTTTGACTCTTTAATTAACACGGATAACAGGAAATATACAATCAAATTAAGTATTCAGTCGCAATAAAAAATGCTTTCTCAAAAACGTAGCAGAATGGTTTACACATTTCCCCATGCTTTTGATGATTCTGAATCATTTGAATTCGTATTTGGTAATAATTCACTCAAATTTCAAGGGGAAATATGTGACATAAATTAATAGTTAATAGTAGAAGTATTCTTTAAAATGTCTCCCAAAACAATTTCTTATTTTTATCAGCCTAATACAAAAATAAACTTATTAATATGACTAAAAGTTCACAGCATTTAATGCTTCCACGTATCAGGCAACAGGTCCTCAGCTTTGTATGTGTAAAATCTTATTTTAGTTAGTGTTAGGGAACAGCTGATAATATATAGATTGTACAGATAGGTAAACTGAACTCCACTTAGCCTGGAAGAGATAAACAGGGTCACACAGCCAATTAGGAGAAGAAGAAAAGAGTCTTTTGAAAAACCATGGTTTTCCCATGTGGAGGGCAAAATGTGAACATTAGCAGACACAAGTAATCAACGCAGTGAAAAACAATTTTAATGTGTTAAATTATCTTTTAATATAATGCTGAGTAGCCTTTGAGGAAATAATTACTTTGTACATTGATGATGGCAGTGAAATTTTGTGTGGTTCTTTCTGCAAATGATTTCACAATATGTGTCAAAATGAATTCAAATATCTAGCATTTGACAAAATACTAGCATTTCAGGGGAGTCTATGCTACAAATAAGCCAAAATTGTAAAGAAAAATGTTCCTGCACACAGATACTTACTCCACTATCATACATGTCCATAGTCACAAAGGACTATTAAGATTCCAAGTGAAATAGGATTGGGTTAGACCAGCTCAAACAATGGCTTAACAACTATTTCAAAACAGGAAATAATTAATCTGCCTAATAATTTGCTTATTTAAAGAATCATGAAATTATTTAAACATATATGTTGATGAAAAAAAACTTAAAAATACAACAAAAAGACATGTTTACAGTAAAGTAAGAGAATTATAAATGTCTTTTCTTCTTCTGGCCTAGAAAATTCCATAAAGTGGTCCTGGGCTCTGTGCATACAAGTACACTCTTTATACAAACATATATTCCTGTTAGAGTCCAACTGTGTTCAGAAACAGATAGGGTGCCTCAGTGCAGGAACTTGACTAGTTCGTACCCTATATGAAAAAGCAGCTGTTTGAATTGTAATAGACTTTAATACAGTAATGGAGGTTAAAATTTGGACTCATCTGGAACATGTATCAGTCTTATACTCCTGTTCTAGCTTTTTTCCATTACACAACATTCTGTAGGTTGTCCTGACATTATTATTTTCATATAAATTAATGGAAAAATTTTTTCAATAGCCTTTCCTAATTTTTTAGGTGTCAAATTTAAATGTTGATAACTTGCTATTTAGAGTTTTGATTAAATTTAGGAAATTTCATGTTGGGTCTAACAAAGGGAATGAATAATTTTATAACCCTAACTATCACCCACAGAAATGTTATCTACTCTTTTTTTTAAGTGAGAGAAGACAAAACACAAGAAAATTTAATACATCCATTTTTAAGAATTTTTTTCTCTTACAGAGAAATTTACTTGAATACCTAAATAAATATTTATGTAGACAAACTATGAAGAAAATATTGAGTACAGCTCAAGTGTTCCCAGTGTAAAATCTATGAAACCTTTTTCACTTATACGTATATGGCCATACATGTTAACGTTTCAGCCCTGTGATTGAAACAAACATACTACCAGGAAAGTACAAGATGATTTTACAGGCATTTTAAATGACCATATAAGATTTAAATATGAAATGCTAATTCTAACAGGAAACTGAATCTCTCTCACCAATGATATTTACTCTGATACTCAATAAACACTACAATTTTTGAGAAAATGTATGTACATAATTAATTAAAATGATGCATATCATTGGATGTCTTTAATTAAAGATGTATATATTCTTTGTAAGAGGTAAGTATCAGTAGCAAACCACTTATGCACAGAGAGGGAAACTACTTTTAAAAAATTTTTAATTCTTCATCAGCAAAACGGAGTGAGGAACTAAACCACTCTGTACACAGCATTACTGCAACACTGAAGACCTGTGTGAGGTGGTTAGCTGCATGTGGGAAAGCTCAGTGCTTCCTTAGCTGCTGTTCACAATTACTATCATTAGTGGTGCAACCTGGAGAAGTGTGACATTTTACCAAGTATATTTTGTTTCTAAAATTTTTTTTCAAATACTAGCTCATATGTCTGTCTGTCTGTCTGTCTGTCTCCCGCCCTCCTTCAACCTTTATCTATACTCTCTCACTCTTTCTCTCTTCATCTATATAATTATATATAAACATATATTCTATTGATACATATTATATCTGTATATATCATATCCATTATATATTGTAATTATTATTGTTTTGGATGACAAATGTTTTTTTTTTGTTTTTTGGTTTTTTTTTTTTTTTTTTTTTTTTTTTTTTTTGTCTGTTTCCTTTTTATCGGTACCGGGGATCGAACTCACAACCGCCTGCTTGCAAGGCAGGAGCTTATGCCGCTGAGCTAAATCCCCAAGCCCCGGATGACAAATGTTTGGGTAGCCAACACTATTATACAACATCAATTGGACTCTTCCCTGATATCATCCAAGCTCTTAGCTAAATGCTTACAATGTAGGAGAACCTCAACAAATACTCTTGGATAAATAATTTCATGCAACTATTTTCCTGCTAATAATCAAACATGAGAATTTTTTTAAAAATACGAGACATTTTAAAACAGTGTAAACTGTATTAAAATTTTTAAACCATTGCTATTGTAACTGTGGAAAATGACTCCATCTGTATGCAGAGTGGCAATATTAACCATACTTCATTAATGCTGCACTAATTCCTGCCATAATTAATCTGAGGATGTGTAGTAGAGACTTGGACAGGAAAGTCCCACTGTGGGGCTGAGGGCACAGCCCAGGGGCAGAGCGCCCCAGGCCTTGGGTCCCCTTCCCAGCCCCGGGTGGGGCAGGAGCACCATGTGGCTGCTGTAGCTCAGGGACTGCACAGCAGGACTGGCCTCTCCCAGCTGCTACGTCTCCTCTGCACTGAGGCTGATGGAACAGCTCCCCTCTGTGCCGTTCAAGGAAGAGAGCTGTGTGGTGACCTGGAGCAGGAGCCAGGACACGAGGAGGAAGGGACCTCAGCCCTTTACCAGGCCCCGCTAATGGGATGCAGAACACTGAAAGCTGGGGTGAGACAGGGCTCTCCGCGGGATGCGAGTCAGACAACCACAGGGTGTTTCCACTGAGGAGGAGGTCAGTAAGCAGCCGATGAAATACACAGGCATTAAAATTCACCACTCCTCGCTGTGTCTAACTAGTGTCTTGCTCATAGCCTCTAACATGTTCTTAAAAACTAAGCCTGCCCAAGATCCATCTGTTCTGTAACACCAACGATTCCATTATAATGAGAATTTCATGCAGAATGTTTAGTACTCACATCAAGGTCATCCTTGGCATTGTAGTAGACAACTTCATTGCTCTACAAAAAAAGAAAAGAGGAATTAGGATAAAAGCAAAGAAATACTGGGTCAAACACTGAATATATCTGATTACAAACACATTAATTTTAAAAAGGCTGGAAAAGAAGACTTCTAGGGAGCCTGATTTGCACAGAAAATAAAATAAAATAAACCTTTCATAATATTCCTTTCACAATATATTTTACAAAATCCATTGAGATTAGCTAATATTCTCCATGAACATATTAAAGCAGTATATCAGCAGCATTAAAGCACATCTTACACTGGGGGAGAGAGATCAGTAAGAACCGAGACCCATCTGTCAAGCAAAAAGAGAGTGAAACCTCCTATGTGGAATGAGCCATTCACACACAGGAAGAACACTTCTGCACACACAGGAAGAACAAACGTCTCTGCACACACAGGAAAAACACCTCTGCACATACATATTCTGGGCATCATACAGGTTAACTGAAGCAGGTACACAGCTTAGTGCTACTTTGTTAATCTATAATTTTTAAAAACATAATTTCTGTCCAGTGATGAAAAGATACTTGAAAAAAAAAGTAATCTACCAATATTGGGAGAAATTTCCTCATAAGTTTAGGACAAGAGATTGAAAGAAACTCAATGCGGATGGAAAAAGGCATCAGATCTCCTAACACAGTAAGGTGCCAAAGAAGGTCCACGAGGTGATGAGGTGGCACTGGCCCTGGCAGGAGATCAGTGGAACCTCCTAGCACCCCTGCTGAATGCACCATGAATTGAGGTTATGGGTGCAGACTGTGTGGCCGAAGGAATGTGGAAAAGAAAGGAAGAGAAAACTGACGGCTGATGACCCTGTCTGTGGGTCTCAGGCTCGCGCACCCGAGTCTAAGCCACGCTCCCTCCCTTCTCCTGAATTCACGGGTCGGCCAGGGCCCAGCCCTGCAACTTCTACACTGACTGGATTAAAATAAACATGCAGGACGCACGTCCTTAAAAACAGGACAGTGACTCGGGAAGAAAGAACTGCTTCTCGAGGGGTATTTTAAAAATCTCTAGCCGGGATATCAACAGATGCTACAAATGAGAAAGCCCTTCACGGTCACGACACTGGAAATCAAGAAGCAGAGATCCAAGCGCCTCGTTGGGAAGACTTCATAAAATCTCGGAGTATGACAGCGCTGACAAACGTCCAAGAGAAAAAGATATCTCCCATCTGTTCCCAATTCATCTGACACACAACTCAACCTCTGCCCTGTTTGCTTCTTTGAAAAACATGACAGGAGACAAGTTATATAAAGCATTGTTCCCTTAGAAAACCAAACAACTATAGATATACTGTAACATGCAATTCACAATTTCATAATGCATAGAACCCATGAATAAGAATTTATTTGATTTAGAATGAATAGAAATTTAAAAATATTATTTTTTTAAAAAATAAAGGAACTTGACTTTTATCTACTTTTGAAGACCTACAACGTCTCCAATGTTTTGGTTTTGTCGGTTTTGTTCTTTACTGTTTTGTTCAATTGTATTACAACTAATGGTATAGGCAATTCTATTAGAGATAGCGGGAGGCATTATGGTAACCATTGTTGATCACCTTGTATTATGTCTTTATATTATCTATTATGTCCACCCTTTTGACTTGACTGATTCTGTTCTGTTATGTCACATTTGGTTTTACTCTCTTCCAAAAAAGCAATAAGAACCGTGGGAGCAATGAAACCCAAAATGTGTAATAGTCATGGTACAAAAGAGAGGAAAAGAAAGTGCTCTAAACTATATAACTGCATGTATATTTAAGTGTATAAGATAGAAAATGATATCACTGAGTTTTATTGGATCATTGAACAGAACTGTTTGCAGTATCATTGTTGGAATGTCCACTCTACAAGCTTTAATTTTGTGACTTGAGCAATTATTTCTAAGATGGCAATATGTAATCCATTAACTAGTGATTTCCTACTGCGCATTTTTTTCTTCTGTAAATCTGTATAACTTGTACCCCTTCACTGTTTTTTTTTTCTTTTCTCCTTAAATAAAAAAAAAAAAATAAAGGAACTTTATGTATAAACGCTCTACTTCTTGAGCTATTTTTTGTAGAATTTGTTTTGTAATAGAGTTAAAATACAAAATCAGAACTCATCCCTGCATGAAGTAGTAGAATCTTTTAAATCCACCTGAGACTCAAACCTAATTACTAGATTATTGATCCCACTTGCAACTGTGCAATTATACAGAGGAGACAAATTTCAGCTTAGGATGGATTCCAGCAAACTCTAAAACACTGAAGAGGGCTATCTTCATCTTAGACCATTTTCTGCCAAAAGCTTGCTTCTAACAACAGAAGCAGAATATGCAGAAAACGTCAAGTTGTTCTGAATCATCTTTTCAAAAGATCGGTGTGTATTTACACGAGAGAATGTGGTGCAAAGAAGGCACAAAGTTTAACTCAGCGATTCTTCTTCCTCAGGTGTGGAACGGGCCAAGATCAATGACATCAAACCACAGTTCCTGCAGCAGTGCACGTGGGGCCAGCGCTGGGCCCAGCAGGCTACGTTAATTAGTCACGGCCTTCCCTCCTGGGAACATGTGAAGAATACTACTCCAGGGGCTGGGGATTTAGCTCAGCGGCATAAGCGCCTGCCTTGCAAGCAGGCAGTCATGAGTTCGATCCCTGGTACCGATAAAAAGGAAAAAGACACACACACACACACACACACACACACACACACACACACACACAATCACATCTTAAGAATACTACTCCAACCCGAGAGGAAGACAGGAGACGAAGACATATCAGCATGTAATCACGCTCAGTATGTTCCCATAAGTTGTGTATGACATTAAAATAAATAAATATTACAGAAAACTGTTTATCTGAATGCTTTAAAAGCACCTCCATTTGTTATTATTCTACAGTTTATATAGAACAGTTGTACAGGACTCTTCTTTCAGACACTATATAGTGCCCTTAAAACTGCTATTGAAAATATGTATTCTAAATTTTATTTAAATTTTATGCATTTGCACAAGGCTTTCTGGATATGGCATGAGATCTAATGTTATACATTGTTTTCTAAGGCTATTTTTAAAAAGTGTGAATAGCATATATAAACGCAATATAGAGAGCAATATCTTTAAATATGTAACGTGTACGTACGCCATGTGAAAAACATAGCACAAGCAGTTACATCAATTTAAGTTCATCATAAAATTACACCGTACACTAAATATCCGTACTCCTTGTACCTGGCTATCTTACGCGTGTTTTAAAGAGCTCTTCTTCAGTGTTTTCATTTTGTACAAAGGCAAAATACAGACGCAAAGGTCAAACCTTTAAGGAGGTTTAGGAGGGGTGCATGGCACACACCTGAGGGGGGTACGAGCCAGTAAGTCTCAGTTCTCAGAGCTGATTTCTTCTCCAGCAATAAACAGGAAGCTGCATTTGGCCAGGGGCATTTTTCCCTACCTCTTTTATAAATCCTCTTTCATTCCAGAGTCCCCAAATATCACCGGTAGACAGTCACTTCACTGCCCCCTTATTACACCCAATAAGAAAGCTCACTTAGTCATCGTATCACGCGTAAAGTCACACAGGGAATCAGGAGTGGGAGAAGCTGTAACTCTGTACTTAGCCAGCACAATCCTCTATATCAAGGGAAACTAAAGCAAATGCAAATACGTGTAGAATATTTAATGTCTGTAACCGTAAGATATTTTCCCAGTACCACTGCATCATATTTTCTTTTATGAAAGTACAAGAATTTGCTTGGCACTTTTTATTGAGACTGTTTAAGAATTATTTGTCTCAGAAATTATTTCAGCTTAACTGTCAGAAAATCACATTGAAGAAACGTTTCCAGTTCACATCACATTAATTTATAGCTATTTTCTCTGCTATATAAAATATTAAGATACGTGCCACAATGTCAAACTAAACCCTTCTCTGGTAGAGCAGTTCAAGTCCCTGATCCTCCAAAATATGCACAGAGTCAGTCTCAAAAGGAGTGGCCTGGGAGAACTGTGGGGGATAAAGGCGAGTTAACACCTGGTCATCAGCCACTGAGCAGGCTGCATCCTCATGGCGCTGACCGCTGGGTTATTTGGCCAAGGGAAGTGAGGGAGATTTTTAAGCAGCTCACTTCTGCAGGCCGGGGTAAGGGAGGAGAAGCAACATTATCAGCTGTCGCCTTCTCCCTCCACTAGGCCCTGCACCTCCCTCTCACACTGAGCACAGGATGAGTTTCACCCGGAAGAGCAGAGGGAGCCGCGTCTCACAGGCTGATGGACCACGCTGGTGACCTTCAGTGTGGCGAGTGTTAGAGAAACACAGGACAACACCAACGCCGGATCTCAGCGAGCCAGAGGGCCACGTTCCCACCCGTCAAGCAGGTGACAGTGATGGAGCTGAGCCTGCCCCGCTACCCTGAGTGTTCCTGGAAGCCTGGCTGGCATGCTCACGGAAGCCAAAGCTCCCCACCGCAAAACACAAAATGGATGAGGTTAAGAATCCAGTGGGCTGGGGAGGTGGCTCAGAGGTAGAGTTCTTGCCTTCCCTGTGCAAGAACCTGTGGTTGATACCTCGCACAAGAAAAAATAAATTAGATCATTGAGCTCTTTTCCGTCTACTAACAGAGGAGGAAAGACAGACAATTGATAGAGGATAGGCAGATGATAGATGAATATATAAATGACAGATGACATATTAGATAGATATAGATATAGGATGGATAAGGTAGACAGAGAGATGACGGATGGGTGGACCAACAGAAGGGAGAATGGAGGGACAGACGGATTATGGGCAGTGTCAGAGGGTTAATCTCTCACCCATCCTCACTTAAGGATCCTCCTCAACCCTCCCCCAGAAAGCATTTAGCTGTACTAGTACTGTTTAATGTTTTCATGGAAACCCTGCATGTAAACTAATCGCCAGAGGCAGACGATAGAATCCAGTTATGTTTCTCTATTGTCCCTCTGTCTAAATATGTTAACAAAAATTATTAAGCACCATTTTAGAAGGTAT